ATTTTGATAAGCACTTCTACCCAGGGAAATAAGAAACTGCTAAAAAGTTTTCTGTGAAGTACCTTCCTCTTCACGTCCTGTATTACTCTATACTTATAAATAATAAAATAGGGGACTGATAACAGTAGCTTTATGTAAGCAAGCTTAGAAATCACGTTCAGATAAGTGCTTTTGACCTAAATCTTGTAGCGCCTCGATCTGACATATAACCCCACAACTGTGAAATTCTGTATGAGATTTAGCAGTTTGAAGCTGCTAACTGACCCAGCCATAAAGCAGCCAGAGATAAGGATTTAAGGTACGATATGATACAATTAGACATTCACCTCCTATTTATTTCAGTCCATCTCAGTATTTAACCTACTTAAAAGTTGCAAGCTTTTTATTAAAATGTAAATGCTGGTATGCCATATATTTATACGCAGCTAACAAGAAGAAAAAAGGACTCTCATAAATTAGATTTCTGTGAATGAAAAGGGTAAACAGAAGATGCTTCTGCAAAACTCTTCTAGACGTGCAGAGATAAAGGATGGTTCTACCACACAAAATAATCAGATACAAAAATAGCTGTTCAGAAACAGCACACCTAAGGAGTACTTTAATCAAACATTTAGGTTACCTGCCAAAAGGACCATGATCTCTTCAAAATGCAATGCGGATTAAAGTGTTATCTAACACAAGCAGAAAACTAACCTTGGAGTGGAAGTTCGAAATGTGTTCATCATAATTTTCATGTCTTTGGATAGAGAAACCAGCTTTTTCAGCTAGATTGCAAAACTGGTTTAAAGTATTCCCTCTGTGTGGAGCAAATACCATTGCTTTTCCCTGGAACATTAAAAAGAGAATTTACACATTTTTTAAATTGGAAAGGAATGAGATATAACATACACCTGACTAAGCTTTTAATATACGCAGGTTGGAAAAGACAGTTGTTCTCTTGGTAAAGTATGAAAACAGAATAATATAAATCATTGTTCAAAATATGCAATATTTCTGTGATTAAACAAAAGCAAAATAGAAACTAATAAATTCTTTAGAGACCTGCCAACTGCAACACATCTGCTCCTTTTCACATAATAGCAGTGTCTACAAATTACCTAGCTAAAACACAGTAAAGGCATACAAAATATACTCTCAATGCAAAGCCATTTGTTAGCTCATGACCACACAGAGACTGCAAATAATATTTTTCTATTTTTACTCTCATGCATAGAAGAGTACCTCACACCTGATGTCAGTGGAATTACAACGGGGCAAAATGGAAGACAAATGAGACCCAATCATTAATATTTAAAAAAAAAGATGTTTTAAACTACCTGAGCAATGCAACTGAATTCAACCCTAAATTCAAAAAATTGCATTGAAAGCACAACTTAATATTCTTGCACAGTAATTCGTGATCTTTCAAGATGATCAGGCCATTTATGATGCCCATGCAATATGTTATGGTCCATTAGACAGTAGTTTGTTCATCCTTCTGTATTTAAGAAAACAAAAATGCTTTACCTTTAACTGATAGTTTTTAGACACCCTGTGCGAATTATTTGCCCCATACCTCACCTACTTGATATAGCATCTCTTAAAATCTTATTTGCAAAATTAATTCTAATTGGCTGAGTATTGTGCTCTGCCACTTGGAATGAAAACCGGTTGAAGAGCTGTAAACAAAGGTTAATACCAACAAGCAGTATATCAAATTGAGGTGAACACAAAGTTTACTGCGAGTTCTTTTATTTAACTTCTATATTAATGACAGCTAAGAGTAAGTTGTGAGGTGTGTTACCAACCATATAGACAAAAAAAAAAAAAAAAAAATTGTAGAAATCTAAACATATTACAGAATTGATTATACACTGTAGAAGAATATTTGGCTAATGAAAATGCAATTTCATGTACCAGAAAAAAATTTTAAAAAAAGATTGAATGAAAGAAAGTCAGTAAGAATTCAGGAAAGTTATAATGCTGACACACTTAGTGAAGAGGATAAATGACAAATCTATGTGCCACTGCACATGCACTCATACACCGAGGCAACACTCGGTGAGGCAGCAAGAAAAACTACGCCAGTATCTATGGTACTAATGTGTACATAAAAGACTGCAATCATTAATACCATAGCACTGTATTTATTCTCACAATGTCTCCGTGAGATAGGGAAATACTGTTATCCTCATCTCTCTCATGGGAAATTTAAGCACAAAGGAGACCAAGGGCAATACCCAAAGCAACTCATTTTTGCTCATTGGTGTAGCTGTAACTTTCATTTTGTGGCTAAATAATTTTATGTGTAAAGGAGTGTAACTCCCACTAAAGAACTGGAATTGCTTATGTAAATGTTAGGTCTGAATATAGGCTCAGGATGAAAAACATTAAACACTGGAAATTCACAATCAGTGTGAAGTGTGCCGTAACTTCCCTCACATCCTTGGCATGCTTTAATGTTATCAGGCAGAAGTCAATAGCAAAGGGAGCCTTCCACCAAGGATCCTCCCTCCTGCTGCCATCTCATGCTCCCTAGAATGCTGTTCTGCAGAGACCCTCCTAGCAGAAGGAGGATGAGTCCCTCATTTTCACCAGCAACTTCACTGTAATGGGAAACATGTACCCCACCCAGGGCATTTACTGACACCACCAATCATGGTGATATCAGCAACGGCTGAACTTTTTGAGTTTCTTGGGGTACCAAGTTCAACGTCAGTCACAGTTCCAGCAGCTTTGATGAGGCAGTAAGGTTCATATGTCATCACTGCTGCCCTTAGAGATTTCAGTTTGAAGTCAGCAAACTATGCAATCAGTCCTTCTCACACTGTATAGACTAAATACTTCAAATTTAATTTGAAAGAGAAATAAAGTAAAATAGAGTGTAACATGGTATATCTCTTAAAACCAGATTGAAAATCTTGAAATAACTTCAGAAAAGTAGAACGGTCCTTCATGGACATCACCACACCATTCCTTTCGGCCTGCTCATTAGCTGGCATAAAAAGCCATTCCTCTATCGAATTTAGTGCACGTCTAAAACACTTGAGGATCTTGCCATTGCTGACTAAAAAAAAATAAAAAAATTAAAAATGAAGCATGATTAAGTTTATCACTACAATAAAATAAAATCAGATACTGGAGATGCTGTGGTCACTTCTAGCCTAACATAATCTTGGCTTAAAGCAGTTTCTGATCAACTGCCTGATTTGTGTAATTCTGCTACCTGTTGTGTGGGATTGCATTCACATTTCTGATTTTAAAATCTGACAACATGGTTTGATAACATCCAATCGACTTCACTGGAATTTTGAAAGGATAGGCCACAAAGGAATCCATAATTTTAAAAATTCATTCACACTTTTATTACAAAAATATGCAAACTACTGTTTATTATTTGAGAGAAACGAAATGCATATTTTAATTATAGGGAAAAAATAAAATTACATGTAGGTAAATCAAGTAGCTTTCTTAGAAGAGGAATACAATAATGCTCCTCAAGATGAATTTCTCTGATGTAAAATTTTACATCAGTGTCTAATTCTGGGAACTGGTTTTCAGATGATGTTTGTCTTTGTAACAAATTCAGATAAGAAATCACAGTCCCCAGTAATTCTGCAAGCCGCTCATTTCTGCCTACATGCATTCATGTCCCTCCTTCCTGCGCCAACACAACTGTCCAAGAAGCCATACTACGTGTCAGATGACTGACATGAAGAGAATCCCTCTTTCCAGGAAGAAAAGTTACTGAGGACACACACAGTTCTGCGACATTACAATGTCATAAGGATCAGCCACAAATAAATAACTACATCCTTAATGCAAAAGGAAATAGCAAGGATAATTCTTTATAAAGAACAGAGAATAGATTATCTGTGCTCAATTTCTCCTTCAAGTCAGTTTTTAGAATACCTGTTATTTTCTATTTACTCTTATTTTTTCAAGTTTTCTGCTCTGCTATTTTTCTGAATTTCTTTTATTCTGGTTATACCTGAGTTGTTAACACCTGAAAGATGTCTTTTATCTAGATGTGTCTTTCATTTGCCAAAATATTAGTAATAATGAAATATAACTTCTACTTTTGAGACAAATTAACTCAAACAGAAAAGTGAACTTAATCAAAATAGTTTACAGCTGAGCTTGGGCATTTAATAAAATGCATTCTGTTATTGTTGGATTTAAACAGAGCAATATGGAACAGGAAAAATGATAACTAAATGTGATTGCATCTTCTCTTGGGATCTCAACTGAGCATATGAAAGACATAGGTCTTTCAAGTAAGAGCATATACTTGATGGCATATCTCTTCAGCATGCCTTTTTTCTTAACAAAGAAGCTCACTTAAGACGTCCACGCTCCCAGCTTCTACTGCACAGTCTTTCACTGTCCTCTCATTTATGAATAACATTACCTGTAAAGCCATTTCGTAATTGATATCCATTCATATGGCCACGATCTGGAGGCAAGGAGCTGATGAGAGAAATGAACTGTGGTCTAAAGTACATGTATACACTGAGCTAATAATCACACCATGCATACGACAAGAAACAAAAAGCCATCTTCTTTTACATCATCTACATTCACAAAGAACTGTAGTTCACCTGCCCAAAAAAGGCATATTCTGAATTTGAATTAGCTGACCACAAGCAAGAAAGTCAGGAAGGTTTTGGTTTAAAGCCAGGTTAACAATTTCTGGACTGTTTACAGACTTGAGCTGTAAACACTGATAAAAATTCAGGCTGCTTTACCCTCACCATATTTTAATTCACTTCCTCCATTTGAGTTAGCCAGCCCAGTTAAAGAAAGATACGTACGTACACATGCTTTTGCCGATACAGACTACCACGACAAGTGAGAGAAAAGAAACTAATAGCTATTGCTCCACTCCAGGTAAAAGCTCTAGATAGGTCACAATTAGCAGGGCATCTCTTATATACTTCCAGCTGCTCATAGTTTTCTTCCACAACATCTTTTCATGCTAGCAGCGCAGTGGCCTATGGTGGTACCTGAATAACCATTTGAGGGCACTGATCCGGGCAAAAAAAAAATATTTTTTGCCTTTTCTTAATTTGAGATAATGTTTGTGTTCCAAATCACCTAGAGGTCCTCAAAATTATTGTGTACGGGCAGCTGATGATATAACACCAACATCAGAATGCATAACTGTGGCCATGAGTTCCCTTTATCACCCTTGCTTCTACTGATAAAAATATCTGGGTAACATTTTCCCTAGGGTGACTACATTTCTCCTGTCTGCCTGGCAGCTTTGATCCACATCTCATTAAAATCATTCAGTCTTAAGTAACTTGCCTTAAGTCACTCAGGAAAGTCTATGATAGAACCAAGAATAGAAACCTGATCACTCTTAGCAAAGAATGGGATTACTTACATGGCTAAAATGACTCAGTTTCTTAAGTCTTTGCATGTTTGAGTCTTATATTCCTTATGTAGAGAAAATCTCTCATACAAAAAGCAAAATGAAATTCTTAAATAAAATTTGGAGAATGTATTGTTAACACTAAATAGCTTTGTGTTGAAGTGGAAAATTTACCACACTGAAAGATTTGTATGGTAAGCATAAAGGGTACAATTCTGTTTCTTTCTTACACACTTCCTTGTGCTTTCTCCTATTCCCTTTTTGATCTCTCTATCTCTCTCTTTTTAATTAGATTCAAGATTATTTGTTGGTTACAAATATGTGCATGTAACAGCTTCTTTTTGCCTGTAGGTCTCTCAGGTTTATTTTAATAACCTAGAAGAGTGAGATACGTAAAATATTTTCTCAGTGACGGTCATGTAGAATATTTAGCATTTTATTAAGAGCTTGATTTCACTGTGTTTTAAAATTGAATGTGTGTAAATACAAGGTCTACTTCATGAAAAAAAAGTTTTGTGCTACAACATATGCATAATGGTTTTATTCATTTCATATAAACAGAAATGAAAAGAAAAAAATATTCTTTCATAATAAATAAATACACAATGACAAAGGTTACAATTGAAGGGATTACAAATGACAGAAGCCAACATAAAAACTTTCAATATCATACTTTTACTTTAATATGAAGACATTATTATCAAAGGAAAATACTCGAGAAACGCTTTGATAAAAATAATCTCATGCTATCTTTGAAGCGGTTTCATTTATTTTACTACCCACTGTGTTCCTTATCAGAAGGCCAAGTATAAGAAGTTTCCTAGTTTATGATTAGGAAAGAATCTGATAGATTAGAAGACTCAATTGAAGTTGGACATAATAAGTATTAAAGTATTACATGACATTAATCCTGCCATTCCATTACTCTCTCAATCATTGTGCACAGACTAATTATTCTGAAGCCAGTGTTCAGGAGAAAATAGAAACATACTTACACTGGGTTGGAGTAATCTCTTTATTGCATCAACAAGGCTAGCTCTGTACTGGTCCAGAAACAGGCTGACATTGAGAAGAGAACAGAATCCAGATTAAAATGGGTTTTCAATTCTAATGATACTAATGCAGATAAGTACAAGGCTAATTACATATGTTTACACAATGCTGTAAAAGAGAAACTGTGGTCTACATTCCTGTGGTCCAATTCAAGCACTTTTTAATTAAAAAATAAACAAAAATAGGTGAAGCATGAAGCAAATATAATCTAAACCAAAGCTCAAATATCAGCACGAACATTTGCGAGGCTGAAATTCACAGATCACATATACATGCTATTAAAATACTACCCTATCAGAAATCAGAATCAATACACTGTGATACAAAGCTAACATTTTACATGCTTTCTGTACAAGGGAGGGTGGAATTTTTAGAAGTATCTTCTATTGTACTTTGGGTGCTATTATTAAAGGTATTTTTTCCCTTTTCCCTTTACAGTTGTAGCATTAATTCATTATTATGTATTATGCAGATTTTTTTTTCTATTTTTATATCTATGTCTATTTCTCCACAGAAAATTTTACAAGCCCCTAACTGATCACTCCCTCAAATGCTGCTCAAACACAATGACCCAGATCATACAGAGTTGTCCTGCCTCAAGACTGAAATCCTTCATCTCCTGCACTGAGAGCAGGAAAGTTAATTTTCCCATGCAATGTTGCCACATGCTCATCCCTATTTTGGTATGATTACCTCATGATTTGAGGGGATAATCCATTCTTCATGCCCCTCAGTACCTTAATGTATATACTAATACTGGCAACCAGGGTGCCAATCACTCTTGACTAGATATCTGTGGACAGATAGTTAATGTGGATGAGAGACATTTACAATTGTTAGTGAACAACCATCAGATAGCAACCAGTGCTTTTCAGTCCTTACTACCACGGGCTGCATTTATATTGGTAATTCAGATAACAAAGACTCCTATCAAGTAGGCCATAAATAATGTGATTCTTTCTTCATTATTTTTCATTCTTTTCTGTAATAAAACTACTTCCAGTTTCTGTCAAGCTCGAGTTCCACACTAGAAGGCATTTTGTCCATTCTTTATGGTGCTTTTCTACAATCTCCATTCCTTTTTACTAAAATAACACTTTCTGAAGGGTGGGTGATTTTTTTCCAGGTTTGAAATTTCTAAATGAATATATGAAAACAGTGGCCTGCTAACTGCGAGCCAGTCAGTAATAACAGAATATGTGTGGATAGGTAAGGACACTCCACAGTTACTAAAGAGAATACAATATTAAGTATGACAGGGTGAAACAGCTGTATAAGAACTGTAAATTTTCCTACTCAGGAAAATAAAAAAAGAGCCTTGCCAGCAACTAAATATCAATGAAAACTGGCAGACTCCCACAATGTTGGAAAATATGTAGACTGGCTATCCATCTACCACACATTTCTTAAAGAACATTTTGTATAGAAGTTAATTCCTTCCGGAAGATACTGAATTACTGAATGATAAGCGGACTGACAGCCTATCCAAAAGGAAATTCAAATTTTAGCAATTGGCATGATAGCTGCTCTTCAACCTTGATTAATCTTATTCGAAGAAATGGACAAATATTTGTTTAAAGTTAATTCATTGAAACTGCATTTGATCTCTGTAATGTCTCCAGGGAGCTTTAGTCACACTCATTTCAGATAGATCTCCGTACAGACAAATACCATAAGACATTACTTTGCCAGGAACACGGCCACCTGCAGAAGAGATGGAGTACAGTGCACGAGTTCTCTCCAAAGAGAATATCTAAAAATAACGAATTTTCTTCAACATGAAGCATCACAATTCTGATGCACTTTCCCAGAGCAAAAATTCATGTTTCTGGGACCTTCATACCATTCTGTCTTTTTACAATGAGATGGGGCACAATTACTGCTACCAGTCTCATTCCTATGCAGTAATATAATTATAGGTCTTTGTTCACCAGGAATTTCAAATATTCAGGTGCTCTGCCAAGAGATTGGACAACTTCAAGAATACCATTTCGGACTGACACCCACTTGATATTTGAGTGTTAAAAGAGAGAAACTGAGACCTGCCACATACTCTGACCAGAGGGAGCACAGAAGAACATTTCTAGTTTTTCTCTGAGTTGGAGTATGCCCCGGATGAGGAAAAACCAGAAGTTGTCAGGTGATCTGTGATGCACATAGGTCCAGCATAGGATTTGGCCCATGGAAGGCGATTTAGTCACGCAATTCCTCTTAGCAGTAGCATTTGTAGGATTAAACACTAACATAGTATACTGAATATGTACCTCTTGGAAAATCCTTTAAAGCTCATTCAAATTACATAATACATTGTTCTAAACCACTCTCACTTTGTTCTCATACCTCATTTTAAATTTGGCTTGGCTCACTTTGGTGGGCTCAGTATTTTTTCTATGAAAAATGTGATAAAAGTTATTTTTCTATAAAAAATATCTCATGTTTATGTAGAAAGGAACCTGCGAAAATACCAGAGTAGGACAAGAATAAAAAGGTTTTTTTGGGGCCAGAAAAAGTTTATGATCTTGGCAGTAAAAAGGCAAGAACATGGTTTATGATTTGGCCTTTGTTGAGGCAGTGCTGTTAATCTGTAAAATCACATGTAAGTTTACACCAAAGTTGTACGTAAGCAAGCCACAATGAAACATTCAATAAAAAAGGTAGACTCTTTCTTCAATTCATGCTGCTGTTTTGTCCTGTTATCTTGTGCCTTGCAACAACTGGCACGTGCTTACATTTTATAGACTGCAATGTGAACTTATTCTTCTTTTTGCATATTTTCAATTAGAAAAGGAGCTTAGTTTACAGGTGTACTTCAGAAATGATTACATTTACGGGTAGTGAGTGCCCTGTGTAAGAGTCACTTTTAGTTGACCTTCACTTGCGTGGCTAACATAAACCAAAACAACCTTCTACACTGTCAGATTACACTGCACTTGAAAGTGTGGGCAAGAAAACAGACTTGAAATGAAGAATAGATTTAAATTGAGGAGGAATAGAAATCTTACTGCATTCCTGCAGGAAGATTTCTTTACATTAAATGAAATACTAACAGCAAAAAACGGGTATATTTTAAGTTATCTAAAGAATATTTTCAGTTCAGTTTTGCATTCCTGGCGAATCCATGACTCCTCGTGACTTCAGCAAGTCTCAGCAGTGAAAGTAATGTGGGACAGGCCAGCCAGCTTCTGCAGTGAAAATCCTTGCACATGTGCCAAACTTTAAGAATACAATCAGTTCAACTACATAAATTTGGATTCTATGCATTTACAAGGTGATAATGAAGTTTTAGACCATATTCTATCTTTACATTAAAATTATGTGTAAAAAATCAGTTTGCAAAAACCTGCAAGGCAAAGATTTTTCTGCTAGCTCTCCCCTAACTACCCTAACTGTTTTCTCAGACTAAAAATCTCAGCAACCTTTTTCTTATGTTCTTTATTTGTCTTAACAAAGAAAATAATCAGAAATGTGAGGCTGCTAGGAGCTTTGGATGAGTCTTATCTGTGGCCCATCCACACAGACACCTGTTATTTCTCCTCTCTAGTCATACTCAGGCTCACATTCTCCAGCATCTACTTGACCTTGCACCTATAAGCACAGGTCAAATGAAAGTTCAGAATTCTGGCAGCCTCACCTGGCCTTGAAAATGCCCCTTAAAAAAACGAGGTGAGTGGATATGCTCTAAAAATTCCATTATTTCAGTAATTTCTTCCTGTGTATCCTTTTTCCAGGTGTGGGCTTGCTGAGATATATATTTTTTTCCTTATTTTTTATCTCATAGTTGACATTTTACAAGTTATTTCGGAACTGCTGAGCCATGAAACTATTTTTATTGTCAAAATCCTGAATGGTTAAATAATGACTAGCTTTCACCGTTTGCCTCATATTTATTTTATAATCTAGTTGAGCTTCTAAATTTAGCTGTTAACTAATAGACTGTCTGTTCTGGGAAGTAACTTATTTTCCACCCCTGCACACAAGGTTTATGAACGCCTGACTGTAAATATATGAATATAAACACATCACCGCTTGTTGTAATCACGTACATTTTTACTTGAACCTCCATGTGGATTTGGAATATGTTTATGAATAGAGCTTGTTTTCATGTAAATGGGATCAAGCAGTACCACTGGTTAGCTATTCAGGGAATCAGACAATATCACCCTTGCTGGAAATACTTCAATAAAAATTTATCCATGTACCTAATATTTGAACTCAGATTTTTTGCTTTATAGTTCTCTGTTCTAATCCCAGATTTTATTGACTGACAATGAGCTATATGGTGGTGTTAAACTAAATACAATCTCTCCTATCTGTTTTTATCACTGAATACTTCAGGTTTCAGCTGTGGAGCTGTAAGAAAAGAGATTTCTTTTCCTCTTCACTGACAGCCCAAAAATTCAGAAAGCAAAAATCCTGCCAACAGTTCTAAAGCCAATTCTATATCTCGGAAGAGAAATACATGAAAATGAAAAGAAGATTTGAGTTTGATAAAGCAAGGTACATTTTTTTTTCCAGCTTTTTCGTGTATCAGAAAATCTAGTGTCCGTAACTAAGAGAATGATTTTTAAAAGAAGCAAACAATAAAAGGATTTCATGCTTATTAAACTAGATATGTGGGCACTTGGAATAAGAAAACAGAGGCAATTTCCGAATAAAAACACGTACTTTAAACTAACCTGCACATTTCTATTTATTTTTTAGGAATCTATAAATATTTATACACTTACCTGCATCGTAAGTGCTTCAAAATAAACATACAAAATGCAGGGATTGCAAATGCATAATGTATTTTACCTGTCATGTGTGATTCTTTGTTTCCTAAAGAAACTACACTATTTCCAAAAAGACCAGGAGTATTAGCAAGACTATTACTGGCAAAAAACCCCCACTAACTTAAGTCTCTCTCTGCTGTACCCACAGCACAAATAGGATGACATGGTGTGAGTATCAAGAATACAAGAGATGGCACAGCCAGGTTGTTTTGATATTTGCGTGAAGAACAAATTTAACTCTAAATCTCTTGGCAAGACCTTGCTTCACCCACATAATCTGGAGAACATCCATATGTGAGCCTTGTCTAAGCCTCCGAGAAGACTGCTGCCCTCCTGCTCATGTCCGCCAGCACTCTGATCTGACTTTCATACTTAATCTGATCTAATCCTGCCCAGCATTAACTTCATCTGTGCAATGAAACCTGGAGTATCCATTCTAATATTTGGTGAGGAAGGCATTTACTAAATTACTTGCTGAAATCATATGGTGTTGTTTAGCTCCTTATTTTAATCAGATGATGCATCTCTGAGGCACATTATCAGCGATTAGTTAGAAACCCTCCTCTGTCCTTTTTGGGAACAAAGAACTCCTCTGAAATTAAATGAAGCACTGTTGCATTCTGCAAACAAACAGGTATTAGAAATAGGAAAAAAAGGAGGACTAAATACACTTTCTCCGGTGTTATACAAAAATGATAACTTTTCTTAAATCAGAAGAGTTTGCTTAAATAGCAAAACATCAAACAAAAATAAAAACAATTTTTAAAAAAAAGCTCTACAGGAATATTTTGTCAGAAGCCTTTTAAAAAGAACATTGTTTAAAAAGACAATAGACAGCTTCACACTTTCCTTTCTCTTTTTCCTTTAACAGTTTCTCAGTAAGATATAGAAATCTGCTGCACTGAGCTATCCTAGGAAGTCCTTGTTTTCAGAATTTGGTCCTTTACAACACGCAGTGTGACAAAACATAAACAGCTTTTTCTGGTTTAGATATTTAAAGGGTCGAGAGGAAATATTAACGAAAGACAGACTTACTTCAAATTAACTACTATCCTAAATTAAATCTGCACATCTCTTTTTTCATTTAATTTATATATTGCAAATAATTAATAATTTGCCATTAAAAAAGTTAGCACACTGCAAATAAAGCAAGCACAATTCTACAGATTCGGTATCAATAATGGTTTCTGTCAATAAAATCTATTTGCATAAATTATTAAACAATATCCTGTATTGCAACATGTATCCATCTTTTCATAAATTAAATGGTGTACTCTGATTTTTTTACTAAGAATTCTCTTACAATTAACATGTGCCATTGTAAATAACATAAAGCCTTTTTCTACAAATACTGCTGTCAAATTGATTTAAGAAGCAGAATGTCACAGGGAAAAAAGGGTTATGAAATCTTTTTTCCTTGGAAAGATTTTCCAGAGAGCAAAAAAATATATCCCCTTATATCAATAGTCAGATCTTTCCTAAGAAGTAAGCTAATTGAGCTGTTTGTGTTGATAAACTCCCTTTTCTCCAGACTGTTCCTCACTGAGCCATAATTATTTGCAATTTGCCTAAGTCGTCCATTTACTGATACGTCAAGCATGAAACAGAGGCAATTCCAGAAAATGGAAATGCTTCTCAAAATCAATCTTTGGGAAATAATGTGGTAGAAGTTACTGTGTGATAGAAGACTACCTTATAACTGTCACATGGAGATGAATATTAATTTGTTGAGGTTAAGGTGGCTTTGTGCTTCATTTGTTGACTTTGCTTAGCCATCAGCAAGCAGCACAGTACAATTACTCCAGCAAAGCTATTTTTCTAACATGAGTTTTATGATTTTTATGTACTTACCAGTCAGCACACATAACAATGTCAAAATGTCCTTCCAGTTGAGAGACATCTGTCTCATTATCCCATCGTAAAATGCTGGAGGAAAAAAAGATTTTTTTTTAAAAATGAAGAAAAAATAAAAAGGGACATACGTTTTTCATCTTGAGATTTTAAAAATATTAATATCATTCTATGTGACACAGGCATGCTTTTAAGAGCATACACTTGTTACTTTCAAAAACGGATGTAAAAATATTACTCCGTATTTTTCAGTTTTAAATCTCAAAGGCAAAGAGCCACCTTTTAATTATATCAGAAAGGCAATCCACGCAGGTTCTGATGAGTGGATCACCAACAAACATTCATTTCTGAGTTAGTGACACCTGTACGGCCTCAGATTTTTACCCCTTAGCACCACTGCACGAGAAAGTGAAGCCTGAGTATTGACAACCTGAATGAAATAGGAATTTGCAGACCAAATGGATCTTCGTTACATCTGGCAGGCGAGCCAGCCGTGTTTCTCATTGATGAAGTGAGCATTCACTTGGGCTCCGGGGAGGAAGGACAGGGTGACAGAATGCCAAGTTTAACTCCGGTGCTGGCTATGTCACCTCAGGCAAGCTTAAAAATACAGCAGCACTTCGTCAACACCTAATCTCTTCTAAGTGATAAGTTATTTAATTCTGAGATAGCTAATAACAGGCAAGAATGCACTTTTGTGCAAAGTTCTCCTTTGTTTATAAATACTGCCAATTTATGTAGCTGCCAAAAAAGATTTCGGTGTTTGGCTCCTTTTTAAAAAACAGCAAACCAGTGTTGGAATTTACGGCGTACTTAAAATATCATTACCCCAAAGATTCAAAGCTGCATTTCTATTTCTAGGCTATTTTTAAGGGGGGGAAAAAAAAAAAAAAAGAATCCATTTTCCTTTTTCATTTCCTGGTTATTTATAATAGAAAGTAGATAAATATTTATGGGAAAAGCACTTGTGGGGGAAGGGTCTAATCTGATCTTGTCAGGTTGTGCATGCTTATCTCAGTTTTGTATGAGTCTTGACCAAATAGACCCTTTAGTCTTCCCACAGCTATAATCTACTTCTGGTTAAAAGCCATCTCCATTCACATACTAGTCCTAACATTTAACTGAGGATCAGTTATAATGCATTCATTCAAAAATGTTCACTAAGTATGCAGGAAAAAAAGAATTCTTTTTCATTTGCTATACTCCGTGCAAAATGTTGGTGGATATATAGGTCAATTGAGATAGACTCACCGAGAATTGAAGTAATAGTATATGAGTATACATATGTAAACAGACAAACAGACACAAAATTTGCAGGAGAACGCTTTCAAAAGATGGAAATTATGAAAGGAGAAGCCCAATTGGTTGGGACAGCATTGAATATCTGGGTGCCAGTGTACCCAAACAGATCGGGACTCATTAGCCCATTTTCCCTCCTGGAATTTACTGTGGCAACCCAAAGAGAGAACAGAGTAGATTAATTTAATTTCCCCCCTCCCCCCCCCCGCTCAAATTGAAAGTATTCCAGATTTTAGAAGCCTAGGTAGCTTTGCACACTGGCACGCAGCAGGCATCCAGTAGTGGAAAGTGACAAAGGAGAGTTCTCACTCTCAGCTGCTGGCTGCCTGCTGGCTACCAGCAGCTTTTTCAACCCTGTTTCCGTGGAAACTTAGGTTAGAATGGTGAAAATTAGGTAAAGGTAAGTTTTGTGGGCTTAAAGCACGCACTCTAATATTTTAAGAATCTTGAAGCAGAACTGGAAATTGGTAGATGAACTGTGAGCCTTAAAAGGCCACCTTTGGTTCTCATTGCTACAGAAACAGAGATCTGATCAGTACCACTATAGGGATTTGAATTATGATTTCTTTAACCCATATATTTACTATACTTCACACACACAATTAGGAAGGCAGTCTCCTGGAAAACAAAGTCTCTCTCATGTTACTGTCAGGTTTGCACTGAGCACCAGAACACAGCGTTTTCTCTGTACACCCATTTTAGGCACAAGGGAGATGCTGCAGGTAGGCAAAATAAGGCATAACGCAGGGCAAAATCTGGAGTAGATGACTTGCCAGGAGCATGAGCAACATGGTTGGCATGTGTGCTCCAACAAGGACTGAGCCAAGGGCCCCACATTCAGCCATAAGCCAGTTTTCCTCCACTTCCCTGATGTTGCATGAGGGCTGATCTTGGTCACTAGATCCAATACTGTTGTTTCACAAAGGTCAGTAACAAATTTAAATGTAAGATTTTTGAATTCAATTTTGCCATTAGCATTCAGAAGTATAAGGAAAATCTTCATCCTCGGGGGGCAAATAACCATATAAACTAAAGATAATTTGTATAAAATAAATAACACAATAGGAGTCATTCTGATCTCACTCAGGATGTATGCACACCACTGGGAAAGGTGGGACTACAAGCTATATATTCTTGCTATCCTTAGACAAGTGTAAATATTATCAGTATGTGAAGCTCAGTATAGACTGCAACGTTGGAAATTGTAGGTAGCTTAATCTGGGCTACCCTATCTACACTGTTATCTGTTCAATGCTTCCACAAATTTGCATGAGCTGCAATCATACATCTGCATCTGCACCTGTAAAGCAGACATGCCCCCTCGTATTAGGGAATCAGAAATAATTCTGCTCAGAGTCAACATTATTACATCATTAACACTGATGTCAGAATCAGCCTGATTCTGAATCAAAATCACATAATTTCAATTCTGGGGAAAGTAGTGAATCAGAGTCAGGATATGTATAAATACCATCAACTACCAATAAGACCTCCTATAATATAAATGCAATTCCTGAATTTGAAGAACAGCAAAATCTGCTGATAATGCAAAACCACTGAGATATGTGAAGATGTCTAAATGCATGTGATCCATGTGTACTTTATATACTTCTTCTAGGGATTGTTGAGGATGTGATTCATCGACTCAGTTGTAAGATCTGAAATGAATACCAAAGTCGACATAAAATAAGAGCTGACTGCATTTCTATTTAAAGAAAAATAGTGCTAGGAAACTCAAAAGAGTGTTAGCAACAGAAATATGAAAAAATCAGTCTTCATGAAGTTTCCTATAAAAAATAGAAATAAAATGAAACTATATCAGTATCATGCTCAGTCTAGCACAAAAAATACAAACCTTGGTAATCCACCCTTCTTGTTCCCTGTCCAGTGATACTGAATTAGTAGGTGTAAAACAGACTATTTTCAGAAATAGTGAAATTCAGAACAGATTTTATTTCTTATTGATTATTTAGTTAATTAAATTAAATATTAATATGAGGATTGTGGTGCTAAACAATTGGGAAGCCTGAGAAGATTTCTGTAACATTGTTTATTTCAGTCTGCTTGAATTCTTTGGGTGGTCATCTTGAATGGAAATAGCAAATAAGAGCAAGAAAATTTGTGAGTTCAAATTAGGAAAGCAAAAGAAAGTTTCTGAAGGTTCAGGATATTTGTTTTCCACTTTTTCTTTCTTTTTTTTTTTCTCCAGAAAAATAAGAAATTTTAAATCTATAATATTTGTAAACCTTTGTTTTAAGGGAAGATGGTACAGTACTAACAGTTGAAATTATTTTGTAAATTTGGAAAGTGTACTTTACGGTCTACTCTTGCCTAAATCATACTGTCGATGGCTTAAAAAAAAAAAAACAACCACAAACATTTAAAGCTGTGTAAAGCCCACTACTGGCATTTATTTTGTGCTGGCTTATTAAATTTATACAGGTTATGTTTCTTGGAGTTGAAAATAAGCATTTGGTTTCGGAAAAAAAAAAGGATCTGAAACCCACTGAAAATTGAAAATGTTCGGGGTCCTTTTTCGGCTGTAAGATCAGAAATAACACAGGACCCAAGGGAAAGACACAACTGGAAAGACATGATTGTTAGTGTGTCTACTGTTAGTAGATGAACACTGCTCACCTGCCATTTAAGCCAAGATGATGGTGTCTGAAGCTTGGCACCCAATAATGTCTGCTCTACCAAATGAATTTGACCAGTTTTCAGCAGAAAAGTACCCACGTCACAAAGCTATTACTATAATTAGCAATCTTGATGGCAGTCCTAGCAAAAAGAACAAGAACTGAATGAGCTATGGAGAATGAATGATCCTCTCACAGACAGAGGTGGCTTCTGGGCAGAGAGAAAGCATGCTACCAAAATAGTCTGAGAAAATATGTACTGATGCTCTGGTTTCTGAGATCATCAATCTCACGCCAGTCTAAAGCATTAAATTTATTTTAAAAAAAATAGAAAGGAAAGAAAAAAAGAATGAAAGCATGTTTATTAATTTCTGCATTTCTTTCTTTTTTCCTCTCACTTATTTTTTTAAATTGCCAAACAGGCAAGATCAAATAAGAAAATAGACACTGAAAAAAGAGCATCCTTTCTTTAAGTACTACCAACTTACCCAACCCCGAGATATCCTTCTGTGTTTAAAAGAAGGAAAGGAAAAAAAAAAACCAAAACCACAGCAAAACAGCAAATGTAACAAAGGCATTAAGGCACTTCCTCTGTATAGTAATCCTAATATATGGAAGACAGTGTAACAAATGTCAACACTCTTTATCTTAACAGTAGTGAAGTATCACAACAATCTATAACAAAAGACCTGATTTTACTGGGTTTTCATTTCTCATACAAAGATCCTCATTACTATTTTTATTCAAATTCTGTTATTCAGTGGTTGTCTAGGCAGGTAACTTACATTAAAAAAAAAAAACAAAACCAAAAATCAACAACAAAAAAAAACAACCCAAGTTAAGTCTTAGATAATAGAAACTTGAAACATTTCCAAAACTCTCTCGGATGTTTTTGAGATGAATGGCATAGGTTAGAGTAGCTCTCAAGTTAGCAAAAGACACATAGTGCAAATACAGACAAAAAATCACAATTAGAAGAAAGGACAAAAGACACAAGAGCCTGCCTTGCTTCCAACCGTATTGACAATTCTTTAAAATGCCCCAGTTAGCAGATGAACATCTACCTAGTACCACTCTCTACCCACCTCTTCTTTTCATATTTTAATTTAGGTTTCAGTTTTGAAAAGTATTATCATTGGT